CATATATAGGATTCTTTAACTGACATAAGAAACATGAACTTTCAGTGACTGTGTACCAGATAAGGGTGAACTGGGCATATAAAGGTCAACTCGAAAGACTTCCCTAAAGCTACTTGCTTTATAAACGATGGTGCCACTGATACCACAAACGGTGAACTGGTAACCTACAAGATTGAAGGTGGAAAATTCTTAGAGACTTAGACCTTCAGTGTCTGCCCCAAGCATGGGAATGGAAAGGAAATGATCAAATCCTGTGTCAAGAATGTTCACCATCCTTGATTCAGGCAAGAAGTGTGTCTAGGTGCGAAACGAACAAAACCTACCCAATAGATTAAAAGTTTATTCTAAAGCAAATTAGTATGTCCAGGAAAATGCTTATATAATCCCACAAGGGGCTCAGAGAGGAATGGGAAGTACCTGCAATATAAATGCAGATCACCTTTATTACAAAGTTGGGTCATATTCTGATTCCTAGCCTAATTTCCTATATCATAAAAACCTATATTCAATTTTATAAATAGCAGATAGCAAGAATCATAAATTTAGTTAATGCAGAAATTTAACAATTTTTTTTTTTTAAAAAAATGAGAGTGAGAAATGGCTGTTTCAGAGCAAGTATCAGAAAGGGTTCTTTCTTTGAAGCTATGTTTTTCCCTCTGACGCCACCTCCTTGGGGACATAACTAGAGAGAAATAAATTTCACAGCTAATATATATGAAGTAACATGTTTAACATTATCCAATGAATTTATATCTACCTACAGCATATAAATTTATTCCACATAAACTGTCGCCTCCAACAGAATTCATTAAAACAACGTTACAGCTTCTGAATTAAATGCAATCTTCTAATTGGAATTTAATCTTACAATAGTAGTCGGTGGGTTTTCTCTTTTAATTCACAAACGGAATAATTCATTCACGTGCTTCACAGCTCTATCTGAAGGAGGTAACAGCACATTGGACACAGGCTGGCTGCCCACTGCTGTGAGGCCAGAGGGTTGTTCATGACTATCCTGCCTCGGCTCATGGGCAGGAAAGGATGGACACTGGCCATGCTGAATGAATGCATCACTAATATATTCTATTACCTCCATGAAAATGTCATGTTAATTTCTGATCTTCATCAAGCCAGACAATGGCTTATATCACTGGCCGTTAGCCAATTAGCTATGTGGAAAATATTCGGCCAATTACATTACTTATATTAGGTTAGGGACTGGAGAGAGAGGCAAAATAAACGTGTTGAAAATACTGGGGAGATAAAATTTAAGTTGACACTGTCTCCGCATGCTGGAGCCCAAGTTATACAATCTGATAGGCAGCTGCCAGTGCTTATAAATGCTTATTAAATCTCGCTTCTCTTTATGGCATGAGAGAAGATCTGTATTTTTACCAATATTAGCTTCATTGTGTTATGAAAGAGACCAAAATACTTAAGATCATTCGCTCCAGCTTATAAAACATATTATATAGTTTATTAAATTGTTGAAATTACTTTTCAGAGTCAAAATTTCACAGACTGGAAGTTTAAGCACAACCAAGTGGCTTGGCCCAATGACAGACTGCAACCCAAGGTGGCCCAGAAAGGGATGTGTCAGCCTGCTCTCCTGTCTCAGACCTCTGGGGACAGGGGGAGGGGAGGAGTTCGTTCTCAAGTTTTATCAAAAAAGCAAAGATGCCCAGCTTCACAAGTCAGCCTCTTGCCTGACTTGAAGTCAGATGGGTTTGTATCTTCCAAGTTTCTACTTCTCCACAAGTCAAAAGTTAAGAGTGTGATCATGAGAAAGATCAAAACCAAACTGAAACTAGGAGGATGGCAAAGTTGGTGAAGTACTTGCCATGATGCGGGCACGAGGACCTGAGTGCAGGTTCCCAGCCATCGTGTATAAAAGCCGCACTTGCCGTCTTGGCTCTGGGAAGGGAGAAACAGACTCAAGCAGACTAGCCTTCTCTGCAAGTTCCAGGCAAGCAAGAGACCCAGTCTCAGACAACCAGGTGGATGCTGTATGAGGTTGACCCATGAGGCTGACCTCTGACCTCTGCACACACAGACACACACACACACACAGACACACAAAGAGAAACTGTACATGAATAAATGAAACCAACGTGAACAATGTGAGCAAATCACTCACATCACTTGGTGCTTAGAGTGTGTCACCAGATCTGTGGAGAGTTTGGTGGTTGGGAACAGCACAAGGCCAGAGCACAGCCTGACAAATAAGCCAGAACCTCTGCCATTCCTCGTCAATCTTCTCAGGAACACTATGCAAATCCAGACTGTTATTATCACATTTATTAATAACCATGGCTAGCTGCCTATTAAATATGCAACAGACTTAGCCACTCTTCACTCCATGCCTCAGACAGGGAACGACATTAACGAATGCTTCATGCACACACCAGGCAAACAGAAGGCAAATCAGAGGTCTGCCAGGTGAATGGTGGGCTTAAGGAGCCACAACCCACAGACAGACTCTCCTTTCTCATTCCTTACTTCGTTATACAGACATGTTTGCTGCCAACACAGATTCAATACATTAGCCATCTTCTGACCCCAAAACTTTGGCTATAATGATCTATTTGTGTAACCCTTTTTATCTCAGTTTTATTCCCCTGCACCCAAGGTAGAGGATGTGCCATTCTGACCACCCACCCTGTGGATCTGACCTGCTTTACCATGAGGACACATTCCAGGAAATGCCTCACTCAGAACAAGAGTTGATGTTGAGACTAAAGACTCCAAATGATTAGCGATCGTTTCATTACTCAATAAACTATAAGGTGTAAAAGGCACAAGACTATGACTGAGTTGGCAGTGAAAGGACCTGATCAGCCTTCAGGGGCACAGCACTAGGCCAGGACAAGTCCCTGCATCGCAGAGACTTCATCCTTTGGTGTGCCTCAAAGCTGACTTGGGGGTAGATGAAAATGTCAGAATGAATATCCCAGCTCACAGGACCTCTACTTCCTACTAAAAACACAGCCCTGGGAAGTTTATTGCAGTCTGAGAAACATAAAGCATTTCCTCATTTATAAAAACTAACACTGCTATTCAACATGGACGAACAGTAGATTCTTTTTCAAAAGAGTGATTTTTATTACAGTTCTTCAGACTGACTTTTCCGATAGTCTTAACAACTGAAATTGACAAGTAAAATAGGCCGACTATTCATTAAACCTATTCATGTGGTTTTGTTCAATTTCATACAACAATTTCAGGACAACGAGACTGAGTCAGACTCTCAGTATTGAAGTCAGGGGTGACAGGTAAGGGAGGCTGGGTTCCGTGACATTTCGAGACCTTCAGAATCCCAACCACTTCTATGAATTCTCGTTTGTACTCCAGACAGATTAAAGATTTATCGTCTACACCACCTGTATGTGTGACATCTGCTCACCAATCTACAGACCATCCACCAAAGCCTAGCAAAGGGCTATCACACTGGGAGCCCTCTGCGAGGGACCCCCAGACCTGACTTAGGACCCTGAAAATTTATCTAAGATTTCATTCAGCTCTACCGCCGCACGACGCCACTGGCCATTTTATTTTTATACTGCAGACGTCCTTGTCTTGTTTATTGTTGATTGTTTGCCTACTTCTTGTCAATGAAAGGAAAACTACTGTGCAGAAAATAACAGGATGATATTTTCTCCCTCTCTAGCTGCAGTAAAATGAAATGAAAAGTATGACTAGTCTGCTCAGAAACGTGAAAGTCAACAGGCTCTTGAGGGACAGGATGGTATATAACAGTGAGACTAGTTGTTTTCCTAAAGTTCTGTGAAATCAGCATGTCAACATGCTCCCTAGCCATAAAATCTTCAAAAAAATTCTGGCCCAAACACCTGAATGTTTAACAGTGTTTTCAAGACACACCCATCACCAGAAGACATCTCTTGAAACGAGTGGTGAGTTGAGGACCAATTCCAATGTCCATTTCTAAACTAAGTCCAGGAACATCAACATCCCACTCAGACGGGGTGGGCTTCGGCAAGTGCCATTTGTAAATGAAGAAGGTTTGAACAGACAACTTCCAGAGCCTAGTTAGTATAGACACCATCTAATCCATCACCACGATTTGTACGGAATACAGGGAATCAAAGGAAAGAGATCATATACGCGTCAGTTAATTATTAGTTAACTTTGAAGATGTGTGCCTTTTATTCTATTCTCCCAATTAAATATGTTTTGAATACAAGTCCACTAATGAGATGAGTTTATGCCAATGGCTCTTAGCACTTCGTGTCACTCAGTAAATACCTGACACTCAACGGTGCCCATAAACTGGCTCTATTCTAGGACAAGGTTACTGCAGGATGTCAGGCATCGCCCTACATCCCTCTGCACCTCAGCAAGTGACTGGGTGTAAAGGGAAGTCACAATTGTTCACTGTTACACGGGAAGCCGTTGCTTTCTCAGGAACATGGTAGATGGTATCAAATGTGGAAAGTACACATAACAGGAAAATATCACGTTCCTTCTGTCACGCCCCTGAATGACCTGATGAGGCAGGTAACGGGTAAAAGTCCCCAGAAATTTTTAAGAAAATTGTTGAGAAACCCAACTTTACAACCCTTTGGCTTTTTCAGGAGCCCATTATGTGAGGGCCAATGACTGGGGCGTATCCACGAGCAAACTGGGACTCAGGATGAAGGACTCTGAGCTGTGCTGCAGTGTGGCTTGCGTTACTGGTAAGTTATGACAGGGCTCAAAAAGCAATTCCTCAGACAATGGTGCCTTCCTTCCAAAATTTCGATTGCCCATGCTTCAGAGTCTTATTAAAACAAAACAAAGCCAAGTAAGAAAAGTTCCTTCATGTCCTTCCTCAGACTCCTGTAAGAATCATCCTGAAAGGTTTAACAATGAGATGAACACCATGGTGTGTCCCTGCTCTCACAGATGTGTTCACTGCCTTCTTGGTTCATCGTCTTCGTTGACATTTTTTTTTCTTTATGGTCTTGTGACGTTTCAAATGAATAGTCACCAACTTTCACTCACCCTTTCGGCTAGCAGGCATCACACCCATCCGTTCATGGCTGAAGGCAAGTCAGAGAAGGGAGCGCAGCCCTCACCATGGCCGAAAGGGTTCCCTCGGAAACTGGGATTGTCAGCAGAAGCTCCTGGGACACTGCAACACAAAAATGTTTTCACACATAACTAAGATGTAACTTCTGAAACCACTACTTCCTTAAACTTGAAAACAGCAACACAGACACCACTGTAGACATGGGGAAAACACTGTTCCAACAGCGTGATGCTCACAAGCAGGAACTGGAAGCTGTTTTTGAACGACAAAGGCCACTACTTACTTAGACTTCTCTATCATCTCCTTACATAGTTCAGCATTTCAAATGCACCATGCCCTATCAGAAAGGCTCGAGTAATACAAATCCATATTAAGTTGAACCTTACACACATAAATAAAAGTATCTTTTCTTGTTAGATAATGCTCTTTGCCAGAGGATGAAAAAAAAACACTCAAAAAATGATAAAAAACTAATAAATTATAATCATTTGATATAGTAATAACCATGAAGAAGAAAATAGTAACAGAAATAAGTCATAATGCTTTACACAAAATAATTCCATTTTACTAATCAGGAGGTCTTGAGTTCTGCAGGAACCACACTCAGGTACATATTTCCACTGAGAAAGAAGACACAGAGAGGAGCTCAAAGTTGAGGAACCTCAAATCAGGCCTCAGAACAGCACTGTTCAACTATGCGGCCCTGAAGAGCCTTTACTGCGCTGAGATGCCAGTTCTGCCACGTGCAAACATAGGTATTAACCAGTGCTCACTTACCTCCTTCTAGTGCCCTTAGCTTCTCTATCATAAAGCACGATTATTTATAAGGAACTTGAACTATTAGCTTCTCCTTTAACATCATGATTAAGAGGTTTATGACATGAATCACTCTGATGTCCAACTGTCATCAACACCAAAGATGGGCTGTGGGCAGAGTGTTGCAAGTGTTTAGGAAGACTTTCACTCTGGCATAGGGACCTAGTGCTGTTAAGCTGGCAGTCAGTGGCAGATGGCATCCCCTGGGTGTCCACAGAAAGCTTCCCTTCCTCCCCAGAACACAGCACCAACTGCAGAGAAACTCAGTCCCAGTGTATTCCAGATCAGACCTTCTCAAACTGTGGAAGTATCACTGAGATCTGTTCAAAATGCAGACTGGAGGGCTGTGCTTCCCAGGACTGATTTAGTACGTCTGCAATGGACCTTAGACTCCGTTTCTACCAGACTACCAGAAGAAACAGTGACTGTAACAGTAGACCATACTGAAACCAAATGGCAAGTCCTGTGCTCCAGCTGTCACAAATATCCTTGAGTCCCAGACTTAGAGAGCTTCTCCAAAGCTATGGACTCTATCTCATACAGCAAAAAGTCATACGCTAGGGTCCCTCGTTCTCTGAGTAAAGTCTAAACAGTCTAAAGAGCCTCTAATTCCCTGACATGACCTCAGACTACCAATTCAGCTCCTCACTACTACCAAAGCAGACCCAGTAGGCTTCTTCCTGCTCAAAGTGAGCCACAGGTCTGGTGTCCTTGTTAGTCCAGCCCGCGGGAACCCTACTAGTCTACTCCTTACACAGAGGGTTCTTTCTCATCTCTGTGTATTAGGGACATTAGCCTCTTCAAGAGCCTGCCCTGCCCACCGACGTAAGCCTACCTCCTACTTAGCCTCAACCGTATCATCCTGTTTGCTTTCTCAGGAACCGCTAGCATCGTTCATTCACCTTTGTTCCTCATCAGACCATCAGCTCCATGAGATAAAGGTTCTGCCCATCACTTTAAAACTGCCAGAAAAGTACTGCCGCATAAAGGCACTCCATACAGATGTTTAGTCAACAAATGACTCAAAAATCACAATTAAGTAAATCAGCATCTCCTAAAATAGAACTGCCATCGATGGACAGCTAGATATAAGATACTGTCTGAAGGATTTTACAATCATTACTCCATTTCATAAGAAGTGTATTATAGGGCCTGAAAGCTAGCTCAGCAGTTAAGAGCATTGGCTGCTCCTTCAGAGACCCCAGGCTCGAGTCCCAGCACCCATATGGTAACTCACAAATTATCTATAATCACCACTCCAGGGAATCTGACTCCCTCTTCTGGCCTTTGTAGGTACATGCAAGTGGTACAGACACACATGATTGCAAACATCCATACACATGAAATAGAATGGAATGGAATGGAATGGACTGAATTGGAATGGATTAGCGTGGCGTGGCGTGGCGTGGCGTGGCGTGGCATAGAATAGAATAGAATAGAATAGAATAGAATAGAATAGAATAGAATAGAATAGAATAGAATAGAATTTGTATTACCAAGTATCTACTATAGATACTGAGGCACAGAGAATCCCAGGGACTGGGCTCTGTAATGCTTACTCTGAGAAATGCACACTTTTCCAAGCCACTGCACAAATGCAGTCTCAGATCCTAAATTAGATGGCCTTCTGACACAGGCTTCTGAAGCAGGTTGGCTCAGCTGAGTCTTGGCCATGAGACCTCATGGAAGACACTTCACCGTTCTTCAGGGAAAGCTCCCTTTCAAGTATAGGAAGAGCTGGAGCACCCACAATTACTAGGCACATAGCAACACACAGTGGGGTTTCTAGAGCTGCTGCTGCCACAGACAAGTACACTAAGCCAGATCTCCTCCCAGCAGAATTCCAGAACTGTTCCAAGACAGCACCTAATATCCTTAATAGTTTATATTTAAAGAAGGAGAGGGAGGGGAGAGGAAGGAGGAGGAAGGAGAAAAAGGAGGAGGAGGAAGGGGAGGAGGAGGAGAAACAGAAGCAGCAAAGAATGGTTAGAGTTACTCTTTTGTCTCTGATTCTAGAACAGTTCCGAAGCCCAGGAGTAGTGCCAGTGAAGGCAGGAGGAGGCGGGGTTAACCACAAAAAGTTTCTGGTCAGCTGATTCCTTTCTAGAGGAACTGTCTTCAGCCAGTGTTAGAAGGGATTAGAAACTGGGATGGCAGCAGCAGGGCAGCAAAGTACCAACTCCCACTGAAGAGCCAGGGGCTAGGCAGTGATAAAGGGCCGGCAAAGCATCTCGAGTGAGGACTGAGCCTGGATGCTGGCTGCCCCCAAGGGTTTGTTTTGTTTTTGTTTTTCCTATGTGAAGGGCAGCTTTCCAGTCAAGCCACTGGTGGGTCAAGCCACAGCCTGGGACTCAGCTCAGCAACTCTGCCATGCTTCACTTAAAATGCAGAAGAGTAACCAGGAATACCCAGAAATAAAGGACCAACTTCCACTGTGGTTTGTGGGGCAATTCTGTTTGGTTTGGGGGTGTTTGGATGAGCATCCACCAGACACAGAAACTGCCTCCACTCCGCTTTGTAACTTACTAACACTATTAACTGCTCTGGGCTCCAGAAATGAAAGATAGAGCCACTGAAGAAAGACAGATAGCCAAATAAATTATCCAGGACACTGCCCAGAGGCAAAAGCAGTCTACCTGGAAGTGTATACCCAGAAAAACTATCTTCCAAAACAGAAGGTGAAAAGAGAGCCTTCCAGACCAAAAAAAAAAAAAAAAAAGGAGTTTACCACTTCTTCCTGAGGACTAATGGTAAGCTAAAAGAAAATGATTTTGAAGGACAGTTCTTTGATTTCAATATGTAGTGGTGAGCCAAAATAATGGACTTGAGAGGAAACAAGTAAATGCATTAATAGAGCAAAGGGCGGGTATCAAAAAATTTAAATATATGTGAACACACACACACACACACACACACACACACACACACATCCTAGACTTCGTACTCAGAGCTTATTTGTTCTTTCCTCACACTGTAGTTATGTCAATCACCAAGTCCAGGCTGGCAGAACAAACCAAGGCACTAGCTTCATAAGCAGATCCCTGCCCTCCATACCGACCTGCACCATCAGATTTCGGAGAGCTGCGTGTCTACCAGACACCCCTGGAAACTGCAGCAGCCCACTGAATTTCTCTCTGAGCGCTCCAAGCCAAGACATTAAGGGCTCAGTCCTGGGCAGTTTGGGCTGTAAGCACCTCGGGGGGCATTGTGCTCCTCCATTCCCTTCCAGCCCCAAAGAGGCCTGAGCCTGGGAGGTCAGCTGGAACACTGCTCCAACCTGCTAATCAAGAGCTGCAATAAATTAAAAGCCCATTAAAATATTTTAGAAAAAGCCTAGAAGTGCTCAAACATTAATTGTGCCATATTCAATCTGTTTTCCTAGAGATCTGAAAAGCCAGATTACCACCCTGGGGGTCATTAGAAAGGATGAAGCTTTCTCCTTTTTCCATTTACATATTTAAAAATGCATACATCCTGGCAGTGGTCAGTAGCTCCTTTCCAAGGCTTTGCAAGTCCTTGTGGCTACTTGCAAATGCCACTGTCTAGCCACAGAGAAGGGACGTCTACTGGAGCCTGCTTTGTTTTGTTTGGATTTTTTTTCTTCTTCTTTGGTTTTGTTTTATTTTATTTTTTTAAAGCAAAAGAACCAAAGCCCAGGGCTGTTGGTTGCAAAACAGCTCTGGGAAAAACAGGTAGAGGCAGCCACAAAACAACAGTGCTGTTTTCTTGTTTTGTTCACCCTGTTTATTTTCCCCTGAAGCAATCACTGCTTGGTACAAAAGTCTGCAGGGAGCTGGGAAGAGCAGCTGTGGTTCCCTGGAGGCCAGGACCCAGCAATCAAGTTGTTTACCAAACACTGCCAGGCACCGGGAAACAACAACAGCACAGGCAGGCTTTGCATCTATTTTTCAAAAAACAACCTCCCAAACCCTGGGTTGCTGGGGAACCGCCCTGCGTGGCTCTGGCTGAGAGGAGAAGTGGGAAATTAAAGGCACGGACTGTACAGAGTGGCTGCCCCCCTCCCCCAAGTCCTGCATGTAATCAGGATTCCATTTCTACTGAAGACTGTCTAACCTAAAAGGGAGGACCGAGGGCCAGCAGAATCGCAAGCAGTGAATTCATGCATGAGGCATTTCCAAGCTTACATTCCAGTGAGGCTCTGTCCATAAGCCCCCAGGGGTAGTTTTCCATTTTGATCAAGCAAGAGGCTCTACATGGGGCTTTGTAAAACACAGGCCCTAGTTTCTAAATCAGGAGGTTGATCTAACATAGAGACTGGCAGTTTC